ACCCTTCTCTAATATTATTCCGCCCTTACTTTATCGCAATCCTCGTTATATTTCGCTACATTGAGATATCGAAAAATTTATTTTATTTAATTGCATTTAGGTTTTACGTGATATGTATTATACAATCGATCGTCAAACAAGTTATCTATACGATACTAACTTTTGCCAGCAACTTTGTCTGCGCGTAACAATGGATTTCACATTTTCATGTCCCATTTCACCCCCTTCAAGTTTAACTCTCAAGAAAAACTAGCATTTAATCGTCTCGATGGTGATATTTATCTTCTTGTCCGAAAAATCATCATTATCTATTCAGCTGTTCCAGCGTGAAAGCTTTACAAATCAACAAACAAACTCAATTTCCCATTTATTTAGTAAGGATAAAAAATGCAATACTGTGTGACATAGGTATTAAAATATATTTGGGTAAACCTTTTTAAAACAAAAAAAAAAGTTTATGCAAAGATAAAGACTTTAAGAACAGATGTAAATGTAAAATTAAAGTACGTAATTAAAAAAATATTCAAGAAAAATATAAAGAAAATACCTGATTATCACGGCAAGTAAAGGATATTTCAGTCTCAGCACTTCTCACAAATTAGAATTAATTTTATTCATAATGTTTCATAATAAAACCAACATTGAATAATAGGATCACAAAACGTTTCAACTCTCTTTTAACATTATGGCAAATGAATGCGGATAGTTACATTTAAGTTTTTTTTCCTTTGGCTGTGTGTGGCCAAACTATTTTATCCCTCGCCTTGTTGTGGGGTAGCGTAATTTGTGGGCTCGACGTGAGGCGGGAAAGAGGGCTGTCATCGCACAAAAAAAAAATTCAAGACAGAATAGGGAAAAGTGGATACGTCATAGTATTTTACGTTGACCTTAGGGGTGGTGCAGCATAACAATGTCTTACGAAACATTAACATATTATAATCTTGTAACTGCTAATGATATTTCCTTTAAATCTTCAAAGATCGAAATGATCAACAGTGTTTATTGAATTTATCATAATTGATGGTCAGGTATTATTTTGTGGTACAAAACTTAATTTTTAAATGGTCATCCAGTTAGTACAGTAGCTTTCTTTTTACAGAACCAAGTTATTTTAAGTAGAGAAATTTAATTCAAAATGAGAATACTTTTCATTTTATGAAATTGTCATCTTAAATGTATATTATAATCCAAGTTCATGCTTAATTGAAAATACCAATATCAGAGCGTTTCAATGTAGTCATTTCCTTGCTGGTACCATATTTGCAGGCGGACATGCTCTTTGATGCCAATAGAAAACAATATTTGTCAATCGTCTATCTATGAAAAAAAACAGCGTGTACAGTACGTACGCATGTCAGAAGTGAAACGAACTATCATAATAATAATTTTAAAAATGTATATTGACTTAATTACATAAGCATATATATATATATATATATATTAATTACATAATTTAAAAAACAAAAAAAAACCTTTATTATTTGAAATCCTCGCACTAAAATATGACGTTTAAATCGTGTCGTGACCTTGTAAAGCTACCATCATCGCACGAAAAGAAGTTTCGCTTCAAAAATAAATAGGTAAGCACAGTGTGCTCAAGCCTTATCGGCCGCTTATTCTAGGTTTTTCGAGGGTCGAATAAAGTATTGCGAGGAACCGTACCGACGACTTTGTCGGGCCAAAGCAATAATATTATGACATATTGCCTCGTCGGAGCTCTTTGAACGAACCTCGCCTGCTTGGGGAAATTCCTGTATTTCCTTCCCAAGAAATATTACATGGGCACGCGCGGGAACATAATTAACGAATGTTACCGTATATTTCTTGTTTCCTAAGACACTTTTCTATTGTCTTAGAAACTGTATTTATTGTATTCTTAGGATTAATATAAAAATCCGTTAAAAAAGTTGGTTCCAGAAGTATCTACTTAGTCGACGCAATTTTGAACATATCAAACTTGTCTTTGGTTTAGTTATGTTATTACTTTAGGAAATACATATAAGATATTGATGTAGGTATTTATAGTACCTATATTACTGCAGCGGCCAGCAATAGAGGCATTGATGACGAACGTGTAAATGTGGGCTGAGGCGAAGCCGGGGCACACAAACGTAAGTCCATTAATGCCTAGTTGTGGCCAAGGTTTGTATAGTAATTTTCTCAAATATTGCGCGGAAATTAAAACTAAGTTGTACCTAGTCTATTTAGGGACAACTTACTTTTGAAATTCTCAAAAATCAATGACAATCAATCTACGAAATAATCTTTCCCGTGTTAGTGTTTATTTATTTTTTTTCTTTCATAAACAGCTTTCTATTTCGAAATCCAGTTCGAAATTTAAATATGTAACACCTTTGATAAGATACCTCCTTGGTTGCCATGTTTCGGAGTTAAATATCGTTCCATTTTTAAAGTATACGACAGACATGAGTTTAATTTATTTGGCCGCTAAACAGGACAGAATGGATTTTCATACAAATTTTGCCGGCCTGTACATGGCCAGTACAGCAATTTAGATTTATCTCGAAGATAGTTGTCATAATTATGCTTACATTTCCAAGTGTGTTTAAGAAAAAAACATTTTATTTTATACTGGTATAATAGTAGCTACTATGGTTATTATCTACAATATAAGGTGTTTGAAGTATGAGTAGAATAATATTTTGGACTTATAAATTATTATGAATCCCGCCTTTTCGCTGAGTGGAAAGACCAGGCGCCATATTGCCGTTGCCATGACTGTCGGTGGCGGAAGTGATGCGCACGTGAGGGCTGCTTCCGGGGCCACGTTCCGTTTCACGCAATTCAATGTCACAATATTGTGTCCACGCTTTAATTGTTCGCTTTACATTTGCACATCTAGATCGAAACGGACATTTCGTTTCTTGAAAAATAATTCGATGAAGTTTATTTGCTACTACTTTAATAAAATTCCAAATTCATTATTTCTTTTTTTTTATTAATTTCATGCGAACAGTACCTAACTACATATACATTTAATTCAACGATTATTATGTATTAATTAATTTAAATAAGTACATAAAAAAATTATGACTACTTATTCCATCTACTTACCATTACTTAAAATCTATGAAGATAACATTCAATATACTTAGGTATTTTACACACCACAAAGTATACATATACAGGTAGTTAAGTAATCAAGTGATTACTTCGTCGCGTGTCTTAATAACCTGCCGTGAGCTATTAGGGTAATAATTACAAGTTTATTAACTTAACTTTATTAAAAGCCTTAATTATTCATAGGTGATGGGGCCATGTTTTATAAGTAGGATCCTTGAAGGCAAGGTTGACACTGTACTTAGCGATAAAAAAATGATAGTAGTTATAAGGATACGGTTTAAAGTGTTTTAGTACAAAATTTTGCTGTCATTATGTTATCTTAAATCTATCCTTTCTTGTCTCTCTCTTTGGATATATTACTTAGAATCGATACAGTCAAAATTTGTTAAGCATCTTAATTACAGAAAAAGAAATGACTGTCCGGACTATACGGAAGGATGTCGTTTCCATCGCTTGGTCCCTCTTGAGGACAGGCGCACTATGCTCGATATGACATTTCTCTACGACGTTTGCAATGGGACTATAGACTGCACTGAGCTTGCCTCTTCATTTTTAACACTCTACACACCCACTACCCGTACCAGACATACATCATCTTTCTGTTTCGCAATTCCTACATGTCGCCAAAGCTATGCACAAAACTCAGTTGTTTTTCGAACGCAAAGTACATACAATAAAAATTTCACGGCTGTTGACATATTTACTTGCAAAAGTAAAGCATCTTTTAAAATACAACTTTTAGGGCTGTTGGTTGATTGGTAATATACAAACAAAAATGAAACACTTACACATGCATACATATATACACACAAACACACACATATACACACACACATACACACACACACATCCACACACACACATCCACATATACAATGGCGCGCGCGCATTGCACACATCTCGCCCTTGTTTGGTAGAGGGTTTTCTAAACTATTATGCTATAACTAAATAATGAAAATCTGTAATTGGCATTAAGATAAACTATATTGTAAAACGTGTATTATATTAAGAAAATGTTGTGGATTTTGGTCTAGAATTAAATAAATAAATAAAATATCTATTGCATTTATTATTCATTATTTATTTTACCATAGCTGTTACACAGGGGGTGTAACTCTTCTTCCTATAATTTATTTATTTCACTGTCATAGGTTGCCTGGAAGATATTGCTGTTTAGCAATAAGGCCGCCTTTTGTGTACCTTTTCACTGTCATGTTTAAAGTCTTGTATGTCCTGTGAGGTGTATGCCAATAAAGAATATTATTATTATCTTTATTCATGACATTATGTATTTATAAAAAGGCATAATAACACAAAAAGGCTGTAGGTAACTACGAGCTTCTACGTACTTATCGGTTGGTGCAGCAACAGCGCTATTCCCCAAAGGTCCCGAGTTTAAATCTCGGTATGCCCCTATACCGAGATTTAAACTCGGTAAAAATTTATCCGTGTGATGAGCACAAACACTTGTGAATGAATGGTTGTTTATAATCTTCCATAGTTTTAGCGTTGTTTAGTTTTGAGACTAAATAATTGTTTTGTGATTAGTTCGGAATTTACTATTTTTCCCTATGCTTTAGGAGAAAAAAAACGAGCGAGCCTTACACAGTAGTCGCGTATGATGTGTAACATTTGAAACCTCACGTTATATTAGTAAAAAAAGAAATAAAACCTACTACAAAAGGAATAAGCCATTTGTGCATTATGTTCTAAAATTTAATCAAATAGCGCGTGCTTTCGCGACTTCCTGTTACAAACTTCCGTCAGATTTCACGAAATCACTCCCACAAATTGCAGGAAAGATGTTACACATATAAAACTAATGTCACGCACTGTCTTGTCTACTCATCTACTTTATGATAATATTTAACTTTTTTTATTGGTATCAAATGAACACGTTCCGTTTTTCAAAACAGGTATGGTTCTCAAATCGGCGCGCAAAATGGCGGCGCGAGGAAAAGCTCCGCAGCCAGAGGAGGGACGCGCCAGCGGCTTCGCCCCCGGCGCCACCCGCGCCCCGCCTGCCGCTCAACGGAGGCTTCAACTCAATGTACAGCCCCATACCGCAGCCCATCGCTACCATGAGTGACTCTTATAGGTGCGATGATTGAACTTATCTGTTATCTTAATTTTTCAGGATGAAAAGATAATAACTTAAAATGATGACGCATTGTTTACGAAAAGTTATCGATAGAAGTTTTACTTATTAAGGTAAAATATTAAAAAACAGATAGGTATTTGTAAATATATAGATATGTACCAAAAAATAACTAAACTTTTAATGAAAATATAGGTAGGTATTTATTTATATCCTATTATTGCGAAAAAAACTACTTTTTATATTAATCTTAAGTTATGTATGGCATAAACAAGGCGATCAATCACCTTCTTGATTAAATTTAGAAAAAATCTTTTAATAAGTGGACACCCCTAAATATTTCTTCAGTTAGTTAATCAATTAATTACCAACTTAAAAATTATATCTGTTAATCTTTTTAATACAGTTTCGAAATCATCAATTTAAAAAGCTCTATCCTTAAAGTTACATAATTTTCTCTACAAACACTGGTTTCCTTCGGCAAAAAAGAAAGCTCAGCGCACCTCCTTATACTTGCAACGCCATCTATCATCGAGTGGCGACACTAATTAATTTGCGCGCGAAATCGAGCGGCAAAGGTCGCGCCTCCTTGCGTTTCCCGCCATTGCACCGAGACGTTGCGAAGTTCAACGCCGAAGGTCGGTTAAGTTTCCACTTGAATTGATTTTTAATAGTGAACTACGGGCTTTAGCTTTTGTCGTGGAGCAAATTAACTTAGTCGAACGAGAAGTTTTCTCTTTAGTTCGGTCTATTGACTGGATTTTATTACACTGTTCGCATAACACTTTCGTTTACTGTAGGCGCGGTCTTACAAACTTTTTCTTCTCGATTGACAAAGAAATGTCCAAATATATTAAACAAAATAAAAAAAACTTTATTGATTGGTTTTTCTAAACCTTATAACTGTTTGCTATTGTATTTCAAATTGAGTATTGATAAGAATTATTTTAAATTGAAGTAAGTATCGAAGCAAAACTTTAATTAGTCCCGGCTGCATCTGCAGTCGTTTGCACCCACCAAGCCGAACTGGGCCCGCGTGGTTAGTAACGGCCTTGTCTCCGTATTCAATGCATAGAAAAGGCCTGTGGGGACATTAATAGGCTGTTGATTATTCAAGACTATATTATGTGTACAAAACACTTAATTATGAGATACGTTTATTAATAAGGACAGAGATCAATGGTAACGGGGACAAGCTTTTTCAACATCAAAGCAAAGGATGCATTCGGTACTACTGGGTCTAATACAAAATGTTCACTTAGTAAGACATTTTTTTACGGAGGGTTTATATAATAATATTTATAATATAAGCCTGAAAACAAAAGCTGTCTACGCCGAAGCGAAACGATGGCGTAGCCACTAGTTAATTTATAATTCTACCATTTTTCTCAATAACTAAAAGTGAGTTTTCTTCCACCAGTTCGATGTCCGGTGGTCTATCGTCGTCGTGCCTGCAGCAGCGGGACGGCGGCTACCCGTACATGTTCGGGGACGTGCTCGGCGGCGGCGGGTACTCGCGCGCGCCCGCCGCTCACCAGCAGCACGCCGCCTACTCACAACCGCAGACCGCGGCTAGCACGGGTAAGTGAGCTAACACATTTATTTATTAAGAGACATGGACCACCAGTTCCATGTCTGGTGGTCTGTCGTCGTTGTGTTTGTAGCAATGGGACGGTGGCTACCCATACATGTTCAGGGACGTGCTCGGCGGCGGCGGGTACTCACAGTCACAGTCCGAGGCTAGCACAGTCGCCATTAATTACTATTTTAAATCATGTTTATTCCGGCAAATTTTGTATGGCATTTTGTTTTTAAACCCATGTTGAACGCATGACAATGATAAGGTATAAATAAATAAGTTCTTAACTAAAAATTACAGAAAAATATTGAATAGATAAAAGTTTCATCTGAATGTATGTAAACTTTCCTTGTCCTTAAAAGGATTAGATTATTTGATAACACGCTTAAGCTAAAATATCATAAAATAATTGTTTTTTTTTCGAAGCAGGTAGGTAAGTGATAACTGTATTCTTAATTTTTTGAGTGGCGCAATACACACAATAATGTAGGTAATGTTTCCAAATTATCTGATAAATTTATGTGTTTATTAGTATTGTTTATAAAAAGAGGTTTATATACGACTGTGGTCAATATATTTTACATAGAATATAAATATATATAGTTAATGGAATACCATAAAGCTACGGATTTCATGAATTACAAATAGGTAGCTATAAAGGTTGAATTACTGATGCTAAGTGTGTTTGGATCCCACAAAAACATTTCAAAATCGTCGGAATAGAGATGAGAGGCCTTCGAAAAATATTTACCAACTTCGTATTAAAAAGTAGAAAAAACCGCTGAGTCAAGAGCTGGGGGCGTCTGGCTGGCAAGACCGCGACATGACGGGGAAAGGAAAAATAAAAGGAAAGCAGGAAAAATAGAAGTCTATGCCCCGATTGGATTTGCCGTTGTCTGTTCCTTACAAATGGCTTTTAAATTGATTTTGGATATCGATCGTTTTTGTTAACAAATAGTGTGATTGCGGCTGGGAACTTCATTTCCGCATGCCTGGTGCTGAAATTTAATTTTCGGTACAAAGGATGGTGGTGCAAAACATTTTTCATACAAAATAAAGTATAATAAAATCACAGATTTATTATTCAGAAAAAGAATCATAAGAGAAGCGTCGACGCTGGCATTGTTTTAAAAAGCTGTAACTCTCGCATTTGATATTATATATCACGAGGCGGACATTTTTAGCCGTAGGTGGCGGAAAGCGGTATGAATTATTGTTGTTTGGGGCGTTTCGCGGCATTGTTCGACTGCCGAGTTTCAGCTCCGACCGCGAACAAAAGAGTTTTTCGCAATTCAAAATGTGCGCTCACGTTTCATTTACTCTTTTGCGCTATTTCGACGGGTGCATTTGCAGCTTCGTACGGTATTAAATATAAATAATACGCGGATTTGTTCTGTTTTTCCTCTTTTTTTTCCCGTTCTGTCCCTGGTTTTTTAGATTCATTTCCGTCAAACTATATTTTTTACATAAAAAAATATATAAATTTTATACAATATGATCTAACTAACTTTTTACGGTTATTCATTATCATCATAACTTTATATAGCTAAACCCGAGACCAAAGTATCTTCTCAAGCACGAAGAATTTTTCGGTCATGCTTCCTATTCCCGACCATTGTGATAGTAGCTTAACTGTCATGTTTACCAACAGACCAAACGTCAATGTTTACCTATATAGACAATTCGCGGTCAAGTCGAGTTTGTGTATAGTTATATGTAATAAAACAAAACTGGTATCTCACACATAAAACACAATCAACGGTAGTATCATATTTTGTGAAATTCATTTAGGACAAAGCTATTTAAACACTTTTGAAATACCACTATTACCAACGTATTTAATCGATAAACTAACAATGCTAAAACACAACAAAAGGTTTAATACATATAACTGCACAACAAATAGCTAGAGTCACACGAGCAATTGGCGGAGCGGCTGTTTAGTGGCGATAATAACGCATAATGAACGTAACCCCTTCATGGAAAGCGTTATCGTGAGGCTGCAGCCGTCGATCGTTACCGATTTACACGCGGAAAATCGACGCTAGACCGGATGAGGTTTTGGTAATACATACCTACCTACCTACTAAAATTAAGAAAGAAACCATTTATATGCTTAATGACTTAAAAATGGATGCATACCACCTTTTTAAGATGTTTTATTTTTAGGAAACTATATTTATATGTTATTTAAAAAAGTACTCTTTATTGGTTGCCAATCAAACCATTTGTGAATAATTTTCATAAATATCACTTATTATTTTTCATTATCAAAAACAAATAAAAGTTTCACTTTAAAAAGAAAGTTATACTAAAGGTAGATAATCTACCCAGAAGTCTGACTGAGCTGTGTTTTCCATTTTTCCCAAAGATTGGCTGGAAGAGATGCTTTTAGCATTATATCAGCCTTTTGCACCATTATTACGTATTTTGGTCAATAAAGTTTAGCATTAAATAAATAAACTGTGAAACTGAATTTTCTTCGTTAACAGTGGCTAAATACAAATTAATCTTGCAAAATGTTTCTTACATTTTAACAACAATGTTTAGTCATCGTTTGATAGAATTAGTCCCGACGGCATCGGCAGACATTTGCAGACGAGCTCCACGGCGCGCGGCATATCGAACCGAGCGATAACGCGATTGTGTGTAATAAACGGAATGCTATCGGAATCCTATTAGACTGTAGTTTAGATACGGCAGGAATAGACGCGCTAATTTATAATTTGAAATAGAAAGGAAACAAGACAAAATAATGTCAATGCGAATTATTATTCATAATTTACAGGTAGTAAACGTCATCCGAGCGAGGAAAACAAACTTGTTGTTTAAGATAATTTTAAGGGTCTATTTTATTTAAATATTTTAAGAAATACTAATTTTATAAGTATAACTCTTTATTGTTCCTTAGTTTAAATTTTGAATGAATTGCAATAACGAAACAATATTCAAAAGCCCTTCAAGATAAACAGGGTAGTCCAATTAAAGCTTTTTCATCTTAAAGGTATTATAGTTGATGCATCTCATTCCAATAAGTTTTTTTATTCGAATAAGATTTTTTTACTTTGACACACAACTACCTTAAGAAAATAATAACAGCTATCAGTTTATTGCATTAAGCTTTGGCAAATGAACCGCTATGAATGATAAATATCAATGCGTTCAATGCTTAAGAGTATCAGGGTATGTTTTAGTGAAAACATGTATGTTTAATGCGTATAGGTGTAACACTGAAATTATTAACAACTGAGTAAACATGCAGAAAACTATACGTACCACATATACGTAAATCTATCGTGAACGTATTACATCTGCAGCTTTGTGGCATATACCGGTAACCGTGATTGTAACTAATAAACAGAATGCAATCGGAATCCTATTAGACGTATAGCCGTTGCTAATATAGTGCACATCAGGATTCAGTGCACTGATGCACTCACCATGTGGCGCCTTGATAGGATTGATTGACGCGTAATACATGTGGCTTTTAACAGTCAAATGTTTCAAATTAGATTCAAACGCTAAAGGTATTAAATATGTACAATTTTGATGTGATTGGAACAAAGTGTTCGCCAGAGCTTTTGACGTAATTGTTTTTAATTAATACGCTACAACTTTTTTCAAGTGAATTGAAAAGCTGTTTGTTTTATATTTAGCAAAATATTACTCAATATTATTCAGTTCGTTTCTAACTAGGATTAGAAACAGTTTATATTTTTTCCAGTAAGATACTATCTTTAGGTATTGTTATATACCTTACTTAGCTTTAAAGTAACCAGATGAAGTAAAACTTACAATAGTACAAAAGTTTCACCCACAAGTATAAATATGTGGCATTCAGCAAAACTGACTGCACAAACGCGGTGACGAGTCGCGTCGCATTCTTATCGTTTTTATTGACACTGTCTCTTTGTCCGTAGGTGTAATATCGGCGGGGGTGAGCGTGCCAGTACAAATACCGTCGCAGGGGCCAGACCTCGCGTCCAACTACTGGGGGCGGCTTCAGTGATCTCAGCTATTCGGGTTCCCGCATCGACTGCTCTCGATGCCGGAGAACCCGACTAATGTACCCGAGTCGCCATCTAGCGGCGAGATCGCGCACAACTACGCTGACATGTCCATGAACGCTCTCAACATGACGGCGGGACATGACGCCAACGTTTTACCAGAAATGCAAGAAAACAATTCCGTATCGTAAGACAGTTATCAAAATCTCATCCCAGTGATATTATTTTCCCAGTGTCTATTAACAGTGTTTCATTTTGTACATTACTATTCTAAAATTAATTTTAAGAGGCAACTGATGATGTTCAAACTTAGCGGTAAGCGACCGTGTACTATGAATTTTAACGCAGACTGCCAAATGAGTTGATTTTGTTTGAAGTCATGCAATAGTTTGCTTATCCGATGTACAGTACTTACATATAATTATATACACGTGCATTATTTTTCATCGTGCATGGTCAATTTAAAATTAGTAAGCTAGGAAAGCAATAGTATCTTTGTAAATATTAGTGAACGCCATCTGTTGTTGGGTAGAAGAAGCTTCTTTCGCCGCGCTGGATGGCGCGAGTTCACTGTGGACAAGACGTCATCAAGCGTTGAGTGGAGGGAATAAAATGTAAATTGTTTGTGCCAACGTTTGGTAATAATTGAGTGTTTGCACCCTAAGCGAGCACAACCCTTTTATTTCTTTGATGTATGCGTTAGGGGTGCAAAATATTAATGATACAGGAAAAAACTTTGCAATGAGATTCGTTATAGCGATTTGTTTTCACACCCCTCGCCTTGCCGACGAATCGACACCAATCATGTTTTTATTATTGTAAAATAATAGTACACTAATAATAGTCTCATTTAAATGTTTTATTTTGTTAACATCGCCATAGCATAGCACGAACTTTCAGACGAACTAATTTATTATTTATTACTTAAATTAAGGAGATCGATATTGCTGTGATTATATTATATGTAGTACATATGTAATTATAATTATTTTTATCAGGATAACCAAGATTTGTAACACAGTCTGAATATATTTGGAATCGATCATTAAAATGAATACCCATGTACAAATTTGTATACCTAGTTACCTTTTGGGAAAAATATTAATTTTTAATAGATTTTGTTTTAAAAAAGGTAATTTGCTGGTATTCAGCACACGTGAAAAAATAATGAAATTGAATTCACATTTAAATGAATGAATGAATGTAAATTATAATATATTTTCATTAAATAAAATGCAATATGGAAGCGGTGTAGGCGTACTTGTATGTAAAGTATAGTAGGTTGGAATTTATAAGTGTAAAATAATTTATTACTCGATTATAAGTGCATATAGATTGAGGAGAACTACAGTGAAATTTATTAATAAATATTGCATTAACCATTAATTACTGTTTTCGTTTTATTAAACTTACTGATGTCCCCGAGAGAATAATAATTAAGTTATTGTGTGTCGCCTCAACAAGCTAAAATTACCCCAACATAAGTAGTGATCATTTAATATGATTGATGGGGATACTCGACTGTGTCTAATAGCACACAACAATGGGCTAATACAGGGAATAAAATATTATCAATAAGCCTTCACAGATGGCGATGTTGGCTGTATGACGGTGCTGCCGCCCCTCGTGTTACTGAATCTAAGGATATTATCATGTTTTGGTGGAACGGTAAGTTTTAATATTTGTTAAAGAGTGCTTATTGTTCAAGGAGAGATAAATCACATTATTTCACAAGATCATTAAATAACACTGAACTACAACGATTTTATTAAGGCTCTGCAAGAGAAAATTTAAGCTAAAATAATAATATGTAGTTACTTAAAATTGTACATGGTCAGTAATATTAGTTTATTGAAAGGAAATCCTAATCTCGCTTCTACGAGTCTCTAATGTTTATCGCAACTGTTAGTGTCTTCATCACAGAGAAACATAAATAATTGCGGGTAAGATATTATTATCAGAAAATTTGATCTACCCTCTTTCATAGTCTTCTATCGCAGTGCTCTACACACTTACCACTGTTCACAATCTCAATATTGTATATCGCAACATCTTAAATACAAGGTGCCATGGTAGCAATGCCTACAAACATACCTACCCAAGGTAAACAGTCCGGGCTGTTCTCAGAAAAACGATAATTAGGCGATTGATGTATTTGGTGGTCTTCATCGTGTCGTCTTTTTTATGTTTCTGGGAAAGACGTGACGCCTTCCTCACCACCGGGGGTTAAAATGTGAATACGTGTGTGAGGACTCTGTTCTACAGCACAGGGCTCAGCGAAAGCGGGGCCCTACCGCCTACCCACTAAAAAATACTCCTGCATTGGTCACCCGACACGCACTCTAAGAACCGAGGTCCCCAGAGGTGTGGTCGTGGCACCCCGTTAGGAATGGCCACGTTCTCACCCTTACTCCTATTTCATACTCTACGGCGGCATTAAAAACTATGTTATTTATATTTAGAATGGAGAAAGACTTAGGATGGTAGACGATACGATAGCGATCAGTATATATCGAAATTCAACTATACCTGCTTACGCGCACCCGCGCACGGAAAGGGAGCCAGTTTTCTGTACGAAGATTTCTAGCGTTTGTTTTACTGCAAAACGTGCGCTCTGTGGAATTTCATACTTTAATTATCGCGATTGACTAATTTGCGGCGATTTTTCACAACAGTGGGCTCAGCCACTCAGGGAGTACAGGGGCTGGTCTTTCCAGCCTAATTGGTTGTCTATGGAGTCAGACATGAGGGATATTTAAGGATTGTTGTCAGCATTTGAGTTACATCTGAGGCTGATGATCAGCCTCCAAATGTTTCTACTAAACACATTTCTTACAATGGTGCAGAATATGAATAAAGATGAATCCTTTTTCATCAGCCCAAAACCTGACAAGCAACCTTAATACCGACTCCTATAACCTAGTTACAACGTGATGCCTTTATTTAATTAAAATTTTAGATTTTTTAACATGAATCTAAATAAACGTACTTTTTAGGCACATCTCGAGTTTACAATTAGTAGGTATTATTGACTATGTTTATATATGTGATAACTTAGAATAAGAGTAACTTTTAAAATAAGGGTGGGCAACAATAGAATGGCATTAAACGTGTTCCATTGTAGGTATTAGACTGATCCACAGAGCGGCGCGTACGGGGTGTGGTGATAATATAAGGGGCGTACAGAAACTTACATGATTTTTCAGTTTGCTTGTATTCTATAGATACGTAGGTGTACATATATATAGCGATAACCAAGCCGTTAACAAATAATTGGAAATTACATTCAGAAAAGATGCAAGTAAATCAAGAAAAATCAAGAATCGTGCGGTTTCTAATAAAGATTTATCGAAGTGCTAACCTAAAAAATCTATTGAAGTAAATGTGCTTAAAACAAAAAAAATTATTCGAAATGTTTAAATAACCATCTTATATTTTAACAAAAAGACTCTTTGCCTATGTAGACTTGACTAAACTTTTTGTCACTGTATCCTTAAACATCAGCCTGTACGTTTCCCTTCATTGGAATTCTATCAAAAACACGCAACTAAACTTGTCCCGTGGCTCCCCCTGCCATGCCGCGAACAATCACCAGATTATCAGCGTGCATAATTGGTTTACATTTTGTCTGACCATGCGTTCTGCATTGTATGAACACCCATGCTTTGAATGGATAATCTTCGGCGGTTTTTATTGGTATACTTATCGATTTGCGTATGTTAAAATAGGGAAGATGCAATATTTTTATTTTTGTTTTCATTTTAAAGAATTCCATGTAGAATAAACCACAGATATATTAAAAAATTAAAACATTGTGATTTATAATAATAATAATAATAATAATAAAACGTTTATTTGGCACAAATTACAAAAATAACTTATTGTGTTACATAAAGGTTGTGTACCAAACAGGTCACTGCTCAGTATATGTCGAGGCAACATGTGCCACGACACTGATTTTCAGCAGCAGCCTACTTAAATTAAATGACATTTAAGGTCATCGATAATAATTTAAATAAAAATTAAGAATAAAAGATTTAAATACAAATGTCAAATTACTGAAATCAATTGGATAAATATTGCGAAACAAAATGAAAGCCAAAAAAAAAATAAATGAAATTAAAATTTACAGCGTATGAAATGGTGCTCAAAATCAACCATAGTGTTCTAGGTTCAGGTTAGTTCATTGCAACTTTTGCACATCTAATAAATATTTCCTGTATTTAACTTTAAAAGTGCAAACCGTTTTGGAGTTCCTTATTGGAGGAGGAATGTTATTCCAACATTTGGTCGCTGCATAACGAAAACTACCTCGAAACGCACTAGTTCTATGTGCGGGACACCTCATACGAGATGTTATCCGCAAAGGACGCTCAGAGAAAGTCAGCTTCTCATACAAGTATATGGGGCGCTTACATTGTATAACTCCAAACAACAAACTCGCAAAATGCATTTTGCGACGGTTTTCCATATTTAGCATATCACTTCTATTTAGATAGGGTGTCACGTGCGCTCTTCGGGGAATTGGAAAACAGTATCTGGCACAGGCGTTCTGAACTCGCTGTATAAGCATTTTTGATCTAGTTAAAAGACAATCTCCAATGACAGTGTCTGCGTAATTTAATTTAGATAATATTAGTGTCTCGCAGAGGTGAATTCGCAATTCCACACTCAAATACTTACGTATTTGATATAGCACCCTTAGCCTATAAAAACATTGTTTGACAGTGTCTGTTACATGCTTCTCAAATCTCAAGTTAGAATCAAATAAAACACCCAAGTTTCTAGCCTCACTTACTTGTTCGATTGCATCAGACTTTACTTTCAACACAGGTTTATGGGCTTTGATTTGTTTTATTTGAGTTTCCGTGCCTAAGACCATCAGTTTAGTCTTTACTGGATTCAGTAACAAACCGTTCTTTACCGACCACTGAAATATGCGATCTAGATCACTGTTAATTGCATTCACCGCTAGATTAGTCTCAACAGGCTTAAATGATTTATAAACTTGTAAGTCGTCGGCGTATAAGTGATGATTACAGTTTAGTACACAGCTTGGTAGGTCAGCAGTATATAAAATGAACAGTATAGGCCCAAGTATAGATCCTTGTGGTACGCCACGATAAACAGGAGAAGTCGCAGAGTACTTTTTTATGCCACTCTTAGATAAAACCTCAACCATTTGACTTCGACCAGACAGATAACTTGAAAACCAACGAACAGCAGAATCATTGAAACCGTAATATTTAAGTTTGGCCAAAAGCAAATCAGTGTCGATTGTGTCGAACGCGCGAGAGAAGTCAAGCAAAACAAGCATTGTACCTTTGTCTGCATCTCGACCTGCCAGTATATCATCAACGACATCCAACAGCGCTGTTGCCGTGCTCAAACCCGTTCTGAAACCAGACTGTCTTTTTGGCAGAATGTTATTCGCGTTCAAGTATTCTATTAGTTGGGCGCACACAACCTTCTCCAAAATTTTTGACATAAATGGCAAGATGCTAATCGGACGAAGTTCGTTGAGCTCTGTTGGATGATCTACTTTATGGAGGGGTTTGATAATTGATACTTTCCATTGGTCTGGAAAAGTACAACTTGTGATAGACATATTGATAATAGTAGTGATGATGCTCAAGGTTCGCGGCAGAGTCAGCAAGATCATGTTCAATGAAATTTATCGGAAAAAATGCGGTTTTAAATTGACAATTTAAATTTTCGCGCGAAAACGAACCTATGATTGCGATGACGTCACTCCTGTCTGTCACTGGTCGTAATTGTTCGTTGCTGGGTTTAAATTTTCATACTTTAGCATATTTTCGAAATATTTTTTTGAAAAATTTAAAATGGACTATCCATCAACATCATGTGATCATAACAATACCACTAATATTCCGAAAAAAAGCCGTGTTGACTCATGTTTTGTGCCAATCTTTTTCAACAAAGTTCCCAAATAAATTGTTTTTGACTGGAACTTCTGACCCAAAACTGAAAAAAAGTGGTTTCAAGCTGCGAAGAGAAATGACAATTATTCTCCAAAGACCATTATTCGATGCTGAGAAGATCACTTTGACGTAAGTTGGCGAATATACTTGTTATATGCTTAATTAATCTGCTTGTACGTAAAAACCCATTAGTAACCTACCTAATACTTACAAAACTTGTCTATAACATATTTTTAATTTTACAGTTGGAGAATGACGTCGAAAATTAGATAAAGTTTAAAATGTGTGGCACAATCTTCATATTGGCAGGACTGAACCAAGCTTTGCGTTTCATTTAAAATAACTGTAACACGATAACCTTCTTTACGTAGTTTATGCTCCGGAGAACTCGACCTTTTACTGTACATAATTTTCCATCTCTTTTAATTTGGACATAGCCGA